AATCGGTCGCGCGAGTGTAACAATATTATATTATGTTTAGTAAACTATTACGATATATAAACTAAAACAATATAAATGTATTTTAATATTATGGATATAAAAATAATTTTATTAAAGAAATTTTATGTTACGAAATAATCTGTTGACTTAATTTGTATATAACTTTTATACATAAATATTTTAAATATTTTTCCAAAATTTACAATCGATTTAGTAAAAACATATAATAATTTTTTTTAATTATTTACTACCTATATTGACACTAACAGTATTTAAATATCTGATTGTTATACGAATTAATAAGAAAAAATCACTTTATGACCAATAACTGTGCCCTTCTAAAAAAGCCTTACTAAAATATTATATCAATCTTATCTATGACATCTATATATTATCTATATGATATCAGTGACATTTTCTCCGCTCATAAATTATATTATTTCAGTCATTCGTTAATAACTGGTGTAAAACGACGTATTTTCTTCAAGTTAGTGTAATTCGCATATGTAAGACTGTACTTTGTCTTTAATTATGAAATGATATAGTTATGAACATGCATTTTAATTAATTATTTGTTAGATCAATATATATACAATTACTTTATTAAGGATACTTAATAAAGGAGAATAAAAAATTTTATTAAATTAAGAGTGTAAAAATTTTAATAATTAACTAATAATCGTGGTGAGAGTTTCTATAAAGATGTTATAGCATTAAAATCATAATTAGATTTTTCTGTATTGTCAAGGCAGTTTAGAAACTATTTTTTATTCTTAATTATTAAATTATTTTTCATTTTATTATTTTAATTTTTGATTGTAGAATATGAAAAATTGATATATTTTATGTGTAAAAAATATATATATATCTTTTATATTATATTTATTAATTAGATTGCTATTAGTTTCGCATAATTTACCTTCGTTTTTCGAATTCCTCAAAAAATTAGTGGAAAGACAAATATTAATTTTATTTAATATAATAATCTATATAATTTAACTTAAAAACTGGGCGAAGAATATATAATAATATAACAAAAAATATAATTGGTGACAAGTTAAATTTTCAAGTGCAAAAAAATAAGTTTATATTGAACAAGAATTTATTGAGGGTATAATAATATATAATATTACTCGGAATTAATCAGTTCTTGCAATATTAAATTTTCGCATTTTACACGTATGTCGCATGTTAAAAAATAACCAAATTACAAATGACGCTCCATTTACTTTTCGTGATTTTGTTTCCGCAATTCCATATTTTTGTATCATAATTTTATCATTTCTTGATAATCATATAGTTATCTATCACGTTTGGTTTTTATGTAAGTTCGTAAAATTCCTTTGTCAAACTCACATGCAAATTTTAGAACTATTTCGAGATTGTGAAACTACATGCAAAATATTTTAGGAAGTACACAGAAAGATATTTTTTACTACATACTAAATTTTTTCGAATCAATATTTGTATAATGTAAATCACAGTCGTCCCACAAAACAATTTTTACACAAAATAATTAATATACATATATGTTAGTATTACACATTTAACAAAAGTGGATCGTTATTATTGCTATTTTACATAAAAATTCTAATAGTGTATTTTATTTTTATATACTTTGTGTCAAAAATTTTTAAATAATTCTTACACTAAGTTATAACTATCGATGGAAGCAATGTGTAAAGTATTTAATCCTATATAATTCTTATCATGATTAGATTACAATACGATACAGATTTTATCATATCATAAAATTTTTAATCTTTTCTTGTTCTTTATTAATGTGATATTAAAAGAAAACTTTTTTGAAAAAATAAATTATATCTTTAACATTATCGTAAATAAATTATGTTAAATTTAGATAAGTTTATTATTTGCGCTAAAAAAACTTTTACATAAATGTATTTTTATAGTTATTATGTAATATTTGACTTTCACAAAATTATAAAAGTGCTGTAACTCTGATTGTAAAAAATGTCTTTTTAATTCATTTAAGTTAATAAAAACTTTTTAAATCGTTAATTACAGATTTAAAGTTTAAATTATAGAATTTAATATGACTAAAATATTGCAAAATTTATATTGTTCTATATTATTTCATTGAATCGAATATTGTATCGTATTGTGTCTATTTATCAAATTTAAGTTATTATATTATATGAGGTACAATTGATAAGAGCTTTTGACGAAGTTATGTGAATATTATTATTAGGAATACATTTATTATATTTGTATACAATATTTATATAGTGTAGGTATAATTGCTTGCATGACGTGGACGTTTATATGATGCTTATATATAATATTAAACAAAAAATATAAAATTATTAAGGAAAATGTGTGGAGTAGGTACATGAAATTTTTGCGGCTAAATATACAAGTACAGCTTTTCAAGAAGCTGTGTGTTACTTTTCAATGAAATTTTTCATTATTATAAGTTTCTGCATTTTGACTTCGATTTATTCAATGTTTTTATTTATATACATATATATTAACCCTCGGACAGCGAACGTCGTGATACTCGCACGTATAGCAGACGCAGGATCAAAAATGACCCAAGAATGAAATTGTTTTAAGACGTTTGAAAAACAGTTTTTTTATTATAATATGTATAAAATGTGTAGAAGGAGAAATAAAAACACATATTTATCGTAGAAACAAATATCCATTTAGGGTAGAGCGGGGCTATATGAGCATAGGGGCACATTGATCAACGTTAAATATATCGGTAACCGAGACGTGTACAAACACGTCACTCTTGCATCAGACAAGCACGGAGATGCAGATTACTGCGCTGAGTACGCCCGTCTTCGCTCGATCGTCAGTCGAAAGATATAACAGCTTTTTTAGTTTTGTGTAGTGAAAGTAAAGTCATTACGTAAGTATTCTTTTTGGTCTACGTAATAATTGAAACATTTAAAAGAAACCAAATATACTCTTTTATTACAAGTTATTAGTATACTTTGTAATTTCAACATGAAAGTTGTTATTTGATTTACAGTTTTGTTGTTATAAAATCATATTTGAGCCGACATCGGTATGGGACTAGTTGGGTCAAGTGACCCAACTAACCCCGCTTATACATTGAAATCTATTCTTTCGGTAATTGTTAAGTTTATCCTCCTTACCTCTGATGTTGATAAAATTAAGCTCATTCGACGCATTTTTGCACGAAATAAATGAATCTGGTAAAAAAACTGTCATTCTGACCCACGGACCGAGACATTAATCGTTAAAGTTGACGATAGGTTAGGAAATTTGTTACATCAATGAATGGCAGAAAGAGACACGAGAACGTGTAAGTGAAGCTAAAATAAGTATTTTCTGTTTCCATTACACAAATTCTCTACTGCGAAAAAAAATTATATATAAAATAATTTGTTTTTAAAGCAGAAAATGTGTATTTTTAAAGCAGAGAATTTGTATTTTTAAAACAGAGAATTTGTATTTTTAAAGTAGAGAATTTGTTTCTAAAGTAGAGAATTTGTTTCTAAAGTAGAGAATTTGTTTATAAAACAGAATTTGTATAACCTTTTATAATATATATAACCATTTGTATAACCATCGATATGACAGGTTTCATAACCTGAATATCTGTCAACTTTAATAATTAATATCTTGGTTCGCGGGACACTCTTTTTTGCCAGATTCATTCATTTCGTGCAAAAACGCATTGAATAAACCTAATGTTATTAACATCCTTACTTCATACCTAAATACACACCTTAATTACCTTCATGGCTCAACTTGCCCTTCAGAGTTGCCCAATATACCCCATTGGTGGGGCATATTGATCCACTTTGCATCCTTGCAATTAACGTAATTTCTTTCTAATTTACGAGATATATTAAGGGTTTATAAGTACTTAATTGTTGAGGTAGATAAACATGCAACGTTTTAAAGCATTTACCATTAGTCTATCATAATTGTGTGAAGATTTATAATAATTTAAAGAAAAAGTGGCTCAACTATCCCCGCCCTACCCTATTCATTCTCTTCACACTCTTTACAGTTGAAAAAAGTAAACAACTCTAATTCGCGGGTCTTGCGAGACCCTGCGTCTGCCAGCGGAAGGTTAAAGAGAATTTTTATAAATTGATATATATTGTATATATATATACATATATTTTTATAAGAAAAATTTGATTTCAGAACTGGTATTAGAACGAAACAATGATGCCAAATATAATCATCAACATTAATTATTTGAAAAGTTGGAATGGAATTGCTAAGATCCTTCAAGTGGTACATATCATTGTTCTTTTATTCATTTATTGAGAGTGTTATTATGATTTCTTTTATTTCAAATATTTAATATTTATTTTCACGATTTATACGATGTAGTTAATTAATTATTAAGCAACATCAATTTAATCGTCAATTTTTCAATAAAAATGTATGATAACTTCAAATATAAATAATTCTAAATAATTTTTGTTGCGTCTAATTATAAAATACATAACATTTATATTTTGAAAAAATCAATATTATTTTTAGTTTAAAATAATTAATTTGCGAAAAATATTTAGAAACAGCTGTATAAAAGAAACACAATTTTGTATTTAATATTTGAAATAATAAAATAAAATTACATTATTAATTTTCGCTTGTTATTTGACTAACTGATTGTTATTTAAATTTAATATATTTGTTACGATAATAATATTCGTAATTTTCATATTCTTAAATATTATTATATGTATATTATTTATAATATATTTCGATACTCTTTACTTATTTTTATATTTATAGAAGATTTATATCTCTAATTAGTTTTCTCAATTTTCTATACAGATACTGGGTGCGATTTGCGTAGGAATTATTGGTAATGAGCTTAGTTATGAATGTGTAATCTTATACAGAGGATCAGTATTTATCTTCTTTTTTGTTGCAACATTTACTTTCTTTATTAACACTTTTATTCTGTATGTCAGTAACCTGATATCTCCCTCTGCTGCATCTATTATACCTAAAACAATTTACGTAAGTAATTTCATATACATAAACGAAATTGTATGATTTATAAATTTGTAACCTCTAAAACTTATTAAATCTATTAGTCTCGTTTATAAAACGGAAAAAGTGGTTTGTAAGTAGTATTACTTATTCAAAACATTGAAAACATGAATAATTACAAAAAGCTAGTTATTATGATTTATTTCAAAAATTGGTAATTTCTTTTAAACTTTCAGGAACTCCTTTATCATTTCATTGCGTCTATATTATTACTTGCGGCTTCAATAGCAGTAATAATTATGATAAATCAAGCTAATGTTGTAGTTAACTATGACGCGCTTTTAGCAGCTTCCGTAAGTACAATATTATGTATATATTATTCATAAAAGATAGTTCTTAATTATGATATAAAAATTATAAGTATTGCAATGTCCGGTGCGCCTATAGCATAGCGCCCCGTTCTCCACTAGACAGAGCGCAAAGCACGGAGTATAGCACGAGAGCATAGTACGCGTCGACAGTTAGGTAAAGCTATAGGCCGTGCCATCGAAACCGTCGCAATCGAACGCCGCGCGCACTGCGTCTGCGCTAATTATTAAACAAAAGAAACTTAAAGAAATGCATTTCCTCACACAAATAGCATCACCACCGGATAGGAAATGGAAAGCATAATAAATGACTCCAAGATAGTTGCAAACGCAAAACGCCGCCTCGCAAATAGTAGATAAAATCGCATATCGCACATAAAATACATCCCAGTGCAATACGAAATGTATCCAGCTGCCATAAAAAAATCCTACAACACGAATAAGACCACTAAGATTAATCTCAGAACGACATCATCAGAAAAAAGCCTTAAAACAAACACGGGAGATCCGCGCACACCGCAACGAAAGAATCAGCGACTCTAAAAACCTATAATGAAAAAACACACGCAAAGAATAAATACAAGTTCACCGCGTCAGGCTGCGAAAAACGACAACCAAGTACACCAAAACAACCGTCGCGATCCTTAGAACAAAATATCGTAACCGACCTAAGAAAAATCAGGCAACTAAAGAGCTTAATTACAAATCGTAGAAATGGAACATTCTAGAAGATTTTGCGACAGAAGAAAGGAAGAAATACTCCCTTACCGCGAGGAGTCACAAAGATAATAATATATAAGCGAAGCGTTCACGGACTTGATATTCTCATTTTTCCTATTCCACTAACTACGATAAGAACACCACGCGCTTAAGCTGAGCGCAAGCAAAATTTCCATCTCTCCATTAGAAGACTCCGGCTTGGACGTGCGCCTCCCCAGGCGTCGAAAAGCCACTCCTCTCCACCGAATCTTGACGTGCGCTTTCAAACTAAGCATCGATAGATTAGGAAAACTCTCCTGTGGAACTCAAACGAGCGCCTTTTAATGGCGTCGAGGCCTCCAAACTCCCATCTATTCTGACATAACTCGCATAATCGTAGATACCAAAAATCAAACGGCCCAGAGGGAAACGAGGGGGTTGGCGCGTCCACCTGCGGGCGCTTAAGAAATCTCTCCATACTTCTGGAGATTTTGATCCCGCGGCTTACTGAGGAACCGACACCGCTACCGAAGGGCTTCTTCTTCTTCTTATTATTATTATTGGCTCCGCAACCAAGCAGGTTGGAACTGAGCCATTGAGTGACAATGTAGATGGATAGTAGTATATGATGAGAGGTGTAGTGGGTAGACTGGGGGGAAGGAGGGGTTCGCTCCCGAACCGGGCGCCTGCTGCCACCCAGCGGTGGTCGCGCGTCATGAGAACGGGAGAGAACAGTTAAAAGAACAAATCAGTGGCCCTTGAGAAGGTTAGGAGTCTGCAGAATTTAGGAGAGGGATTGGAGAAGGCAGGGAAAATGTTTGCAGGAGATTGAGGGAATTTAGAATTGAGATAAGTACGTAGTTGGAGAGATTTGTGTTTAAAGAGCTCGCATCAGAAAATATAATAACATGGTTGATGTCTTGAAAGTTGTCCCCGCAGGGGCATGCAGGGGAATCAACAATGTTAACTCTATATAAGCTGCTGTTTAAGTTATAATGATTAGATCTAAAACGATTAATCATGACGATCTCATTTCTGCTCAAGGTAGATTTATTGAACCATGGTTTTTCAGAGCACATGGGAAAAAATTCTTGGTGGTGGGTACCCTTGTGTGTGGCTACAGAACGAAGGTATCCTTCAAATCTGGATTTCAGGCACTCTTTAGATACGGCATATAAATCTTCGTGCGGAATTTTGAAGGCAGAAGAGAGGCCATTTATGGAGGCGGTTTCGTCTGCCCTTTCATTTCCTGGAATGCCCACGTGAGATGGAATCCAGAAGAGCGTGATTATGATTCCCTGTTCGGAAGCGAGAAGAATATTTTGCTTGATGTAGTAGATAATAAAGTTATTTTGAGCATAAAGGTGATTTTTAATTGCATCCAGGGCGCTCTTGGAGTCTGAAAAGATAACCACTTTTTTGTTCACGCAATCTCTAGCGAGGAGTACTGCTTGATATAAGGCCCAAAGTTCTGCTGAGAAGATAGAGGTTTCGCAGAGAAGTTTGTGTTTGATGGTAACGTCCAGGTCAGGGGAGTAGACACCAGCGCCCACGGCGCCACCGGGTTCTTTAGATCCGTCAGTGTAGATGGAGATAGCATCCGTTCTGATTTCTGATGTAATGTCCTGGAAAATAGCAACAGTAGCTCTCGCGGGTTGTCCTTTGTGTAGTATAATAGCATGTCTTCAACATATGTGATCTGTTCCGCCATAACTTTATGTTCATGCCAGAAAGCCGGAGGGTATGTAGCTCGATGCATCGTTTTCTTATCTGGGCGACGCATAATGTAAGATTTAAAAAGATTGGAACTCCTGATGGCTTCGGTTTTCTGATTTTTTTGGGAAGCGATGATTTCGAGTTCTTTGAGAGCTTCGTATGAGGTGCTAAATTTGTATGCCATGGATTTGTATACATATTTGGATACGATGAAGGTGAATCTTAAGTGCAGTGGGGGCTCCCTCGCCTCGCTCAGCATGGCATTAATAGGGGTAGAGATGCGATAGCCCATGGCCTAATAGCTTTATATTGGATTCTAAGGAGCTTAACAAAAATTGTAGATTCAGGATTCCATGTGAAAATCTGAGCCCCATATTCAATAGCACTTCTGAGGGTCGCACGGTAAACCGTGACCGAAGACATCAGGATAAGAGCCTCATTTGACTCCAGACAGAGAGGAGATAATACTTACGATATTGTTTCCCCTTTCAATGAGAGCCTTCAGCTGTAGAGCTTCCGACAGCTTATCATCCAGGACAACTCCGAGAAATTTATGTGAGAACACTCTGGGGATAGAAGAGTTTCCTATGTGAATAGCAGGGACCTCAGAATATTCCTTAGTGCGGGAAAATATAACACATCTAGATTTGGTAGGCGAGAGTTCGAGCCCTCTATATCGAAGCTATGAGTAAATGTTGTCGACTGATTTTTGCACCGAAGAAATGGCCGAATTAATATCACGCTGAGTGGAGTATATAATCACGTCATCGGCGTATTGTAAAATTCTAGACTCCGGATGTAGATGAGAATTGATGTCTTTCAAATAGATGTTGAAGAGGATAGGACTGAGTGTAGAGCCCTGGGATGTATCTTTAAAGGAGTCGAAAGGGCCCAAAAGAGAACCATCAACCACGAATTGTAGACGCCTTGAACTGATATAATTTTCAATAAATTTTCTGATAAGTGCAGGGATGCCGATATTCAGCAAGTCTTGGATAAGGATATGGGAGTCGACATTATCAAAAGCTCCCGCAATGTCCAAAAACACTGCAGCAGTGGGATATTTCTTAATGTAACTAGTTCTGATATTGGAAGTGAGGATGACGAGATTGTCCATGCAGGATCTAGTTGGGCGGACCCAGATTGCGTTTGTGGAAGGATTGGGCGTGATTCAATAAACCACCTGAGTCTGAAGTATATCATGTATTCCATGATTTTGGCAAAGCAGGACAAGAGAGCAATAGGACGGACGGATTCCCCCCCGGGTTTGGGGATAAGGACGACCAGAGAGTCCTTCCAGGAATCCGGTAGCACTCCCTGTTCAAGAATTAAGTTGTACAAGGAAAGGAGTTGTGTGAGTTCCTCCTCAGGAAGGTTGACAATTATAGAATAGTCGATTTGGTCCAGACCTGGGGCGGAGCGTTTTTTAGACACCCTCAAGGCCCTTATCAATTCAGCACGCGAAAAGGGCTCACCCAGCCAAGATTGTGTGTTATTTTAAAGAAGATCTTCCTGACGCATATCATCAATATGTATCGTACGATCACAGAAGTAAGATGGAGGACATAACTTGTCTATTGCGGCGCGAGAAACCGCAGTGAGATCTTTATTGTGAGACGGATTGAGGTTTTTGTTGCGTCTGAAACTCTTAATGAGCGACTATATGCGATGTGTCGAGGTTTTGAAATCAAAGTCACCCACAAGCTTCTTCCAACTGAGACATTTAGCTTCATTCAAACAAGCGGAGCATTTTTTCCTGGCAGACTTGAAGTTGTCGTAAGCCTTGTCCGGACATGCGACAAATTTACTAAGCGACCTTTTTCTATCCTTAACCGCCGCGTCGCAGTTGTCGTTCCACCATGGAGAGGGATCCGGACGACAAGAATTTATTTTACTGTGTGGCACACCCTTACCGGAGGGGATTAGGCTCCTAGCCACAGACTGAACACGATCTGCAAATATTTTATATTGTGAGATAGCATCCATAGAATTGTTACATGATATTACCTGAGCAGAGTTTTTTAATCTAAGGTTTAATGTGTCAAGTTTTTCTTTATTTAACTTGAGTTTATAACAAAATTTCTTGGATTGGACGGGAAACATATTGACCTCCGTAATCATGGGAAAGTGGTCGCTGCCAAGCGAATCATCTAAAATATAATTGGTACAGACAGGAGCCAGAATAGGGGATGCCAAGACAAGGTCAATTACAGATTTACGTGCAGAACGGTGAATTAGAGTGGGAGAGCCGTCATTAAGAACCACAAGATCAAAATCTTCAATAGACCTCAGCAGTTTGTAGCCTGCGTCGGAACGTGAAGAACAGCCCCAGGAGGAGTGATGAGCATTAAAATCTCCCATAAGAAGAGATTGTGTTCCTTCAGAGCGTTTAGGAGATCTTGGTAAAATGTAAGAGGTGTATTCTGCCCAGGATGTCTGTACAGGTTTACTAAGATAATGGGATCCTTATGGGTAAAGAGTTTGATAACCTGAAATTCCACCGACGGATACATTATGTCCTGCAGATGTATAACCTCAAATTTGAGGTTATCTCTGAGCAATGTGCAAAT